ATCTTAGCATTAAAACCAGGGCAAAGTTCATTTGGGCTTCATTTTTGGCCAGGTGCGCATGCTCTGTTGTCCGGTCCGTGGTCGTGCCCGGTTCCAGCTGGATTCTCAGGTCTGTGGAAGCCACCTGTTTGCTCCACCTGGGCCTGCAAGACACCTTCTGATGAAATGTCCTTGGACTCCTGCTGTGGGGTCACGGGTGACAGGGAACCTGGGCTGCTGAGTTTGAGGGCAGGGACAGCACGCTGCAGGTCACCTGGCCAGAGTCACTAATATCTGTGTGCTCCTTGCAAGCCCCTCGTGCCTCAGGCTTCCAGGAAGGACCCCCATGCACTCTGGGTAGCAATACACGACAGGACAAGCTGCAGCACGTGTCTGCTTTGCCCTGAGGTATCATGCGTGGAAAGTGCTCCTCTCTCGCACGCTGGATCTGACACTCTTAAGAGGTCGGGAGGGCCAACGTGACCTTCCTGGGATTTAAGGCTCCTTGGCAGGGCTAACCCGACCTCCGTAAATACCAAGCTTGTCAGTTTCCTTGTAAATCAGCTCCTGTAGTTCTGAGATCCACCTGTTACCTTCTGGGCTCTGGGGCCCCCAAACAAGGAAAGGTCCCTCTCCTTCAGCCAGCGTCCATGCCATTAACTCTGTGTGTGTGTGAGAGAAAGAGAGAGAGGGGCAGGGGGAGGGAGAGGGAGGGAGGGGTAAGGAGAGAGGGAGAGGTAGGGAAGGAGGAAGGGAGAGAGAGGGAGAGAGAGGGAGAGGGAGAGAGAGGGAGAGAGAGGGAGAGAGACATTTTGTTTTAAAATGTGGGCTATTTCATCTAATACAGATTTCCTACTCTCACTGAGCTAACATTTTTCAGGGAGAGAGACAAAAAGCAACTAAATAAACAGGAGAAAGCAGCTGGGAAGAAAGCTTTCAAGCTCTGGCCAGTGTACAAATTTCAGGAGAGGAGACGACAGGTGGCTGGGCCGAGGCACCCCACACGCAGGTCGGGAGAGGGACTGCAGGAAGGGAAGGTGGTCCCTGTGGGTTGCATGGAGGTGAGGGTGGGGTGGAGAGAGATGGGAAGTGAGGATAGACGGGCAGGCAGGGGCCAGTCCACGGGGGGCCTTGCAGCCCTCGTAAGGAGCTAAGGAGCTGCTGTCTGAGAAGCTAAATTTGTGTAAGCAAGGGAATGATTTTTTAAAGATATATGCATTTGTTTATTTGAAAGTCTGAGTGACAGAGAAAGGACTGCGTGCACACGCACACACGCACACGCACACACACACAGATCTTCCATCTCCTGGTTCACTCCTCAAATGGCCTCCACAGCCAGGGCTGGTCCAGGCCAAAGCCACGAGCCTGGAACTCCATCTGGGTCTCCTGTGTGGGTGCAGGGGCCCAAAGACTTTGGCCATCTTCTGCTGCTTTCCCAGGTGCATTAGCAGTGAGCTGGAGCAGAGTGGAACAGCTGGAACTCTAACTGACACTCCAGCCTGGGCTGCCAACATTGGAAATAGCAGCTTAACCTGCTGCACCACCAATGCCAGCCCCAGAGGAATGAGTCCTTTGCATGTGGAATCCTGAGATAGATGCCCAAATCCTTAAAAAACAAAAAGGTGACCACTGCTTTAATTTCAAGGAATCAAAAAGATCTGACTCAGAAGTGAGTGTTAGGAGCCCTGGAGAGAGAGCACCGAACTATCAGGGACCAGAGCAGGGGCCTCCCAGGAGAGGTCGGAGGGTCCCTGCTCTTGGAAGATGGTCTTAGATGGCACCCTCTTTTTAGACAGCTAGGGTTTGCTTTCTGCTTCCTGGCCATGTCCTTCTTGGGAGTTCTGCATTTCTTCATGAGGAAAGGTGATGCCATCTCCACTGTGACACCTGCTTTGCCGTCACAGCTGTCACACATCCACCCATCCAGGGAGCCACCCATCCAGGGAGGAGCAGGTGTCTGGGTGTCAGAACAAGGCCAGGAGGCCCTCTGAGCCTCAGAGCCTTTAACTGCCACCCTCCCCCACCCCCAAAGAGGCAAGCAGGCATCTAGGGAAAACATGGTCACATGTGAAAAAGGTCAGCTTCCTTAAGTTTATATCGGTGGGGAAACAGCAAAGCCCCATTTTTAAAACCAGCAAAAGATATGAGCAGACTTTTACAGAAAAGAAAATGCAGAGGGTTATATGCCAGCCTCAGGAGAGTTCAAGCTAACACAGTAGTGAGATATGAGTTGTCTTACGGAGGCAGATCCTTAGCAAGCTGCAAAATCTGGTTTGCAAAAGCTACAATGCCAGTGCGGCTGCAGTGAGATGGACGGTCTCATAGGCAGTTGATGAAAGGCAGAAATTTTTAAATGGGCACTTTTTTGGGAGTATCTTAAGAAAAGTTCATACCCTTTAATCCTTAATCCTGGTTCTTGAAATCTTAGTGAAATATTGGAAAATAATGGCATTGATTTGTGTGCCAAGAGATACGCGTGTATAATATGGTAAACAGCCTACTTGATAAGAGTAAGCTGTGGACTTCATCATGTACTTCAGTGGACTATCATGTAACTGTTAGATATTCTATTTTTGAAGATAATTTCATATGAAGGCAAATGCTTACATTGCAATGTTATGTGGAAGATGACAAAACCATAATAGAAAGTGTGAAGTCAGTTATGAGTGCATATTATATCCATATATATATATATATGTTATGTTCATAGGATCAAAGTTTGCAGTGAAGGATTTTCCCCACATTCAAAAACCATGGGTCTTTGTTTATTCCAAGCACTTTTTTTCCTCCATGTAACATAGACTGCTTTTTAAACAATGTACAAGGGCAAGTGGTTATATTGATGTGGATGCTGGTCGTGCCAGCGAGTGCCTCTCAGAAGCGCAGACTTGCTCCCCCTTCACCCCTTCTTCCACCTGCTTGCTTGCTTCCCAAGATTCTGGCGCTTGCCCTAACCACGGAGTGATCTGAATGACTGAGGGGGCATGAGCTCCCTCTGAACCACACACATGAGGAGGTGCCGTGGTCCAAGGGGGCCCCTCACAGCAAGTTACAACTCAGCTTCGAAGACCCTGGCCATTTCCTGCGACAGTGAGAGGAGAGGCAATGTCCCCGTACATCATCCATCCCCCCACCCCTGTTTCCGCTCCTGTGTCGTCATGGTGACAGGCACCGCGGTGTACGGTGACGCTCACTCAGAACATCTGCGCCTGCCCCACATTCGTTCCTTCTGTCTTCAGTTGAGGTAAATTGCTGCCCTTTGAGAGTTACTTTAATTCGCCTTTGCATTGAAGACACACAGTTTATCTGAAATTAAGTGACAAATGAATTAGGTATGCCCATCTGAGTGGGAGCCTCAGGCCTGCGGTGGGGCTGAATTTTGTTGTGTGGCTTAGAAGCTTGTGAGCCTAGAAATCTTTGGGGTGATGGCAGTGTGACTCTGGCTGGAGCCGCGTGTTGGCGTAAAAGACGTGGACTTGGAGCTGGAAGCCCCAAGTTCAAGGGCAGCTCTGCTGCTCCCTGGCTTGGTGACTCAGGGGAGTTCATTACTCCTTGGGGCTCTGGTGTTCTCATCTGTGCAATGGGGAAATACAGTCCTCTGTCGCTTAACAATGAGATGCGTTCTGAGATTGCGACGTTAGCTGATTTCATCATTGTAGAAACATCATGGAGTGGGCCTCCACATACCTAGACCATCTAGATCAACAATTCAACATGAATTCTTCTAATAATTGTACTTATTTCTATATTTATGTAAAGGCAGAAAGAAAGATCTTCCAACTGCTGGCTCACTCCCGCAAATGGCCATCACTGTCAGGTCTGGGCCAGGCTAAAGCCAGGAGCCAGGAATTCCATCCTGGTCTCCCACACGGGTAGCAGGGGCCCAGGTGCTTAGGCCATCTTCTGCTGCTTTCCCAGGTGCATTAGCAGCGAGGAGCTGGATTAGAAGTGGAGCAGCCAGAGCTGTAGCTGGCACTCATAGGGACACCAGCATCACTGGCCATGGTTAAACCCACTACACCGCAACACCAGCCCTCAACTTGGCCTCTTGATGAAGTTCAGAGATGACCTAAGTACAAAATGCAGCTGACAGCACAATGCAACGTACCATGTCATGCTAAACCTGTTCTTTTACAAATAGAGGGATTAGTCTTTTAGCTCATGATAAGAGGTGTAGTCCTCGTGTTATGTGTTGGACATCATTGCACATAATTGTGCCATATGTGGGTAAGACGGGCAGCCCAGGAGTGGGCTTGTTTATACCGGCATCACCACAAGCACGTGGGTGCTGTATTAAGCTCCCGCATGACTGTTCATCCCAGTCAATTCACTGAGTTATTGATATCTGTGGTTATTTTTCCCCCTGATTGCAAAGAAAATACATGATCCATGTCGAGAATTTAGAAAATAGACTTAGGGGGGCCGGCACCATGGCTTACTTGGCTTACTGCGGCACCGGCATCCCATATGGGTGCTGGGTTCTAGTCCCGGTTGCTCCTCTTCCAGTCCAGCTCTGTGCTGTGGCCCAGGAGGGCAGTGGAGGATGGCCCAGGTGCTTGGGCCCTGCACCTGCATGGGAGACCAGTAGGAAGTGCCTGGCTCCTAGCTTTGGATTGGCGTAGCTCTGGCCATGGCAGCCATTTGGGGGGTGAACCAACAGAAGGAAGATCTTTCTGTCTGTCTCTCTCTCACTGTCTATCTGTCAAATAAATAAATGAATGAATGAAGGGAAGGGAAGGGAAGGGAAGGGAAGGGAAGGGAAGGGAAGGAATAGACTTAGGAAAGCGTAAGGAAGTACTTGGTGTTTTCAGGCCCACTTTATGGTTGGTGGCCGTGTTTGCCTCTGACCCTCCTCCTCCCCACCCCTGCCAGTCTCCAGCCTCCAGTCTGAGCTGAGAGCTCCTCCTGGGCAGTGACCACACCACACGTGGCCAGTGCTGTGCCGGCAAGCGGGGGCTGCCCTGCTGTGCCACTCCCACGCCTGTGTAGTGACGCTGCTGTCAACCCCTCTCTCTCGGCAGATCCTTCAAACCAGACTTCATCCTGGTCCGCCAGCACGCCTACAGCATGGCCCTGGGCGAAGACTACCGCAGCCTGGTCATCGGCCTGCAGTACGGAGGGCTGCCCGCCGTCAACTCCCTCTACTCTGTCTACAACTTCTGCAGCAAGCCCTGGGTGGTAGGTGACAGCCAGGCTCTGGCCTGCAGGGAACTGGGAGGCAGTGGGTGGCCTTCCAGCCCCAACTGGGCCCATTCCCCAGTCTTGGATTCCCCGGGAGGGAAACAAATCTTATTTAAGTAACTGCATAGGCAACTTGGTCTCAATCTTTTCTTGGAATTGCTGCCCAACAAATGTTACATAGTAGCATACTACAAGAGAGAGTATTGTTAAAACCACACAAAGTATTCAGTGTTAGAACATTATTAGACAGTATTGTGGTAACATAACATAATAGCACCATAATAAGGGCTCTTACCATTTTTGCTAACATTCTGTTTTCATATCATCATTATTGTTAACAACAAGCAGCATTTATTGAGCACTGACTGTGTACCTGAAAACTCTGCTGCTGGTGTGGTCTGTGAAGGGAGCATCACTCCCGTGTCTGCAGAGAGGCCCAGGTGCAGGGTGGTTAAGGAGCTTGCCCAGGGTCGTGCAGCCAGGGGGTGGCGCAGCCAGAGATTGAACCAATCTATCTCCAACCCCCAAGACTTGATTTTTCCCTGCTTTTATTCATTAATTTCATTTATCTGAGTTTCCATTGTGTTACCCATAAGAGAAGTTTTCACTAAATTCCCCCCTCCATTCCCCCAAATCCTCCCAAGTCCCTTAGGCTGCGTTATTTCCCCCGCCCCCAGTACCTATCTCCCCCTAGAATGGCTCCATCCATTCATCTGTGTGTGATCTCTCTCGTACTAGAAGTGACACATTAGTTCATGCAGCAAATACATCCGGGGTACTTGCTGTGTTCCAGGTGCTGTCCTCAGTCCCAGGCCCAGAGCACTGAGAAATCAGACTGCAGTCTGTGTCTCGCGAAGCCTGCATTCTATCAAGCCGGGGCACCTGCAGTGCGTTAATAACCACGCCAGATATGTGCTGTGTCCTGTGATAAGTGCCATGGGGGAATCGGAGGAGGAAGGTGGCTCAGGGAACACAGAGGTTGTCCGGGCAGGATGTAGAATGCGCCCTGTGATGGCTACGGCCCCCAGCTCCCCCTGGCTTTACTCTGTCACCTGGTGGTGTAGGGTCCCTTTTGAGAGCAGGGGCTTGGGGCAGACCTCTCGGGCACAGGCTCCCACACTCATGAACAGCACAGGCTCGGGCAACCTCCTTGACCTCTCTGAACATTTGCAGCTTCCTTATTTGGAAAACAATGATAATTATAGGGCCTTCCTGGTGGGGTGATGCGTTAATACAGGTAAAGTTTCTACAGTGCTGGCTGGTGCAAAACACACAGTCAATAAACAGTGATCATTCTCATGGCCCCTGGCCCCAGAACAAGTCCATGCAGAGTCGGCCCACAGGGGTTTTTGCAAGATTACATGCACGAATCAAATAGATATGGACAGTGTTTACCACTACTGCCATGGCCCTGGTCTCTTCCTCATGCTACCCTACGGAGTGTTTTGGCCTATGGCATCCAAGATTCAAATGCCACTATTAGGAAAGGGTCCTAAACAGCACTGGAGCCCCGCCTCCTTGCTCTTCCACATAGCTGTAGTAATGGTCGCTAGGACATTGGTCAGCACTCAGCATGCACTCTGCATGCAGGCCTTAACGTGCACATTGGTGGAATTCTCTGACACCACAAGCAGTATTGCGAATCTGTATGAGGGTGCTTCAAGGAGTTTATGAGCATGAAAAGATGAATTTATCCTTATTAAAAAAAATCTGAAATCTAAGCATGTTATTTTTTCCTAAAGCACATTTCCATCAACTTTTTTGCTGATTCCTCATGGGCCTGTGATTCAAAAAATTTTTGCACCAAAATGAATTTAAATTTTAATTCTATTTCCCATGAACTTTTCGAAGCCCCATTGTACAAGTGTGGACGTTGAGACCCCCATAGCTACTAGTGAGTGGTGGAGCTGGGCCTCCCTGAATCCCATGGACTTTGTGAATGGTTACCCTTCCTCTCTGGACCCCAGTTTCCTTCTGCATCATACAAGGGGCTCAGCCCTCCTCCCCTTTCCCGAATCTCGGAGGTCTTACAGACCTTCCGGATTGACCCCGTGTTGTGCTACACCTGCACAAGCCAGTCTCGAGCTGCTGCTGACAGTCCTGAGTTCACCATCCTCTCTGTCTGGGATCTCAGCGCTGAGCTACCCCCACGTCAGTCTGACACACGACTCGGCCCCCATTCTAGCCACTGGGCAGCCACATTCAACCACAGATCGCAGCTTCTTTCTTTCCTCTGGATCAGAACCTAACTGGCTCTTCCCTGCCTGTGTCCAACAGCACTTTGCCTTCTCCTCCTGGGTCTGGCCTGCACGGCCCCTGGTTCCCCCTCCTCTCTCACTGTCCCCTGCCCTTGAGGCTGCAACCATGGCAACCACTGGGGGGCTCCAGTATACAGTCATCTTGCTGCACACCTGTTGTGCCCTTCCTCCTTCTCATATCTTCTGTTCCAGGAAATCTTCCTGACCCCCACTTCGTCCCTTTCCTGACCCCCAGACTCCCCATGCCACCCCCTCAAAAGCGAGACATTGGTACCTTGACCTCGTACTACAGGTGGTCTTTTTTCTCAGGCTGGCCTGCCATATTCAGCTTGTTATCCTAATAACCAAGCTGCTGTGGACTGAGTAAGATTTGGCTCCACTCTGCTTCCTGGCTCGCCATGTGGTCCTTCTCAAGCAAGGGCTCCGCCATTGCCAACCACTGCTCTCTCACCAGACACCAGACCTATGGCGCAGCCCAATCTCTACCCTCCAAAGCCGTGAGCCAGAGTAAACCATTTTTCATGATAAAGTTAGCTCCTGTCAGGTATTTTGCTGTTGTAACCCAAAGCCGACCAATGCACAGGCACAGAGCCAGGCACAGAGTGAGCCCTGTGGGGTGCTGTAGGGTGATGGAGCTCTCGAGACAACAGCTGACCAACTAGTGGCCAAGCAAGGAAGCGGTGGTGCAGGAGGAGCACCGTGGGAAGGGACGTGGCTTGCGCTGTTGGAAATAAGGAAGAGATGTAAAAGCAGAGACAGCATTGGTCAACAGTAAAAATGCCTCATGTGCAGGTGCTCCTGGGGACCGGGACCTGCTCTGAACATGGTGTATCCTTCCAGCAATCCTTGGACAGAGGGTCTCTATCACCATCTCCAATTTATAAATGAATGACTTCCCAGGATACACAGCTAGTAAGGGACAGAGCAAGAACTTGAACTCAGGGAGGCCACACCCAGAGCCTGCCCCATAAACTCCTATGCAGTGTTGCCTCGCTGGAGAGGCAGGTGGAGGCAGAGAGACAGCCTGAATGTCAGCAGGTGGTGCTGTGTGAAGTGCTGAGCGTGGAGGTGGTGCTCATTTAGTTCAGGCTGGCTAAGCCCCGTGTTCTGCCTCCTCACTAGGTCTTGAATGAATGGAGGATTTGATGCAACTGAATGATGGAAAGGGGTCACTGTCCAGGCCCCTGTCCGATAGGCAGGAGACAGCCACCGGGACCCAGAGCAGAAAGGGTGGATGCAAGTTAGGGTCAAGTGGGGGGGTTTGGCCATCCTGGGTGGTTATGTGGTTGATTAATGAATGTCCCCCTCTCTCCTGTCCTAGTTCTCTCAGCTCATTAAGATCTTTCACTCCTTGGGCCCTGAGAAGTTCCCGCTGGTGGAGCAAACGTTTTTTGCCAACCACAAGCCAATGGTGAGTGCCCGTTTTTACTTTGTTGTTGTCATGTTGTGAACGAATGCGGATGGCAGTGTCTTCATTCCCTTCGGACAGAGGAGGTAGGCCCCGGGCCCCTCCCTGACCAGCGGGGCTCTAACTGGTCCTGTGGGAGTGCCTGGCTTTCCTAAGGGAAGAGCCGTCTCTCCGGCAGAAGGGGAAATGGCAAGAGCTGGGCCATGCGATCCCTGGGATCTTGGCAGCTTTGATCAAATCAGGGGACAGCTTGGTCTAGCATGCTGGAGCCAGAGCTTGATGAGAGAGCTGGAAAGTGTTTTCAAGGTGGGATGTTATTTCACTTGAGCTCTTTCTGGGACGTGGTTTCAACTCTGGTTTTTTAAGAAAAGCAATGATGTTTTGGTTTTTGCATTGGCTGTTGAAGGGCAGTGTCCCTGTGTGTCCGACTTTTGAATACACTGCAGTTGTCTCTGGGAAGCAGCTGGGACTTAACTCAGAGTACGTGTGTAGCCGCTGCTTTGGAGGGCACCTGGCTGGGAGAGGTTAACATCTCTTTGAATGTAGTGGCGAGTTCTCCATCCACAGCTGGAAGAATCTGGGGGCTGGGGTTCTGGGTGGCTGGAAACAGCCCATGACGTGCCTGCTTGCATGGTTGGTGGTCTGATGTTGCTGTGGATTCGTTCTGAAAGGAGGAGCGTGGTGGGGGCAAGAGGCGTGGAATCACCACACAGACCCTGGGAGTCGTGTGAAAGTGGGCCAGAGGTGAGCAGCCCACAGACTCATTTATTTCAGTTGGTACAGCAGCTTATATAGCCAAGGCAGCCAATCCATTCAAGGGGCGGTTTATGCCCTAACCAATCACAGCCTGTTGCCAGGCAGTATCTGAAGCCATCCAATCACAGCCTGTTGCCAGGCAGGCTCTGGTGGATTTTGAAGTCATTCCTGAGTGATGCTTGATTGCCAGCGGCCATCTTGGCATGATCTTCTTAATCTGGACACAGGAATGCAGGATTGTGACCCTAGGAATGGCCTTGCAGGGAAGGTGAATCTTGGGGAACAGGATAATTCATGCCATATCCCATAGTCCCAGCTGGGGACCGTGGCCTGTTTGTAGAATCCCAAGCTCATTCTGTTGAGCTAGACAACCCTGCTTGTTGGACTGCAGGCTCTGGGTGGGAAGCAGTCCAAACAGGCAAAGGTTTTCCATTGAGAGTCTTTCCTGTGTATCAGATCCTGTGAGTCACAGAATCCAGGGTGTGTTGGCTGGGATAAGGGGACATGTGTGAGACCCGGCGTGTTCCAACAATGTATGAAAACAGTGGAGAAAATTCAGGGTTTGTCATCAAACCAGGCAGAGCTGGAACCCCAGTTCTGTCCACTAGCTAGGTCTGGGGTCGTGATGTGGATGAAAATCACAGAACAAACTCATCTGGTTGTTGAGATTCCGTGCGATTCCGTGTCTAAGGTGCTGTGCCTGGGGTGAGGGAGTGGAGAAACTTTCCAACAGGGGCAAACGCGCTAACATGGAACGCTGTCAGTGGTGGGGTGAAAGCTCCATCGTTGTGGGTGACAGGCACAGCCGTAAGCCCTGGGAGGAGTTCCCCAGCTGTCATGGGGCCTCATGAGTTCTTGGGATTCCCACCCAGGCCAAGCCACAGTTGGAATTTCAAACAGGCAGTTGACAGGCAGGACGGCTGTTGGCAGGCTCTGCGTGTCCTCCCACCTGCACCAGGTTGAGAGTCTGAGGTAGAAAACAAGGTGTGCTGTGTCAGGGCCTCCATGTGGGCAGCCTGTGCCACTCACAGGTGACAAAACAGAGGTCCAGATTCCGCGGATCGAGGGAGAACCCCGGCCACCGCGTGAGGGAGCCAAGGCCAGGCTGGATTCGCAGCTGGCGGAGAATCTAGGGCACCTCTCACCCCACCCCCACCAATGAAAAGGACTGGGACCCAAGTTGCAGAAATGGCTGGAAGGAGGGCATGTGCATAGGCCTGGAGTTGGGACAGGCAGGAGAGACTCCCAGGTCCCTCTGACGTCTATGTAAACCACGCCTCTCCCACCCCCTCCCCTGGCAGTTGGGACACAGAAGTCAAGAGACAGCAGGTGTGTGATAGAAATAAAACCAATTTACTGTTTAGAATAAAGGACACACTATAAAAAGTGAACATTATGCAACATTATAAGACAATATACATTCACGGAATATAAAATTCATAAATAACATGGAGGAAAACTGTAAACAGTGCTACAAAATTTAGCAACAAATACATTCCTTCCAGACAGGGCTTTCTCTGGTTGGTTTCTCTCCATCACTTCTGGGTTGCAGGGCAGCAGACTGGCTAAGGAGAAAGGTTGGCAAGGGGCTGGGGGTAGGAGGAGTCAGGACAATCTAAAGCCCCACCCCCAAAGCATGAACCATTCTCTAAGTTCTCTTATCTCCAAAGAGCCAGCCTTGACGTTGGTGATAGGCATCACCTCTGTCTTCCCCCACTTTGTTTTACATGTTTCTCTATGATTAAAAAAAATACTCTGGCAAGATTTTTATTTAGATATCCAGGAACCAAACACGTGGGTGCCACCTTGGGGTCCTCTACACTGTCAACCGCCTTGCACAAGAGGAAGGGGAAGGCATGGGACAGGGAAGGGAGTTGTCTCCTAGGGGCCAACGTCTCTCCTGGACAGAGTAGTTCCAGTAAGTTCCTTTCCTGTCCACGGTCTGTGGTGTGAAGAACGGTGCTCGTGGGCGGGCGTGGCTACCGTGGAGCTCAGGGAGTCCCCTAGCGGCACCTTCCCTGGCCTTGGGCTTGCCCGAGAGGGCAAGAACCGGGCCTGGGGTTGCCTTGATTGGAAGGCACAGAGGAGGCAATGCAAACTTGGAAGCGTAGCTCCCGTGGGCCTTAGGTTTTTATTTTTGGGAGAAATCATGGCTTTGCACTTGGCGGGATAAGGGGGCTGGGAGTGAAGCGGCCTCCCCGGGGCCAGTTGACCCAGAACAAGCACGCATGCGGAGGGGCCGCCTCCTTGCCGCTCCAGGAGGCTCGGTGGCCACTTCCTTCTCTTCCCTCTGCTCTGCCAGTCTAGCTGCCTGCCCAGTAGATGTCTTTTACCCTCCGTTCTACTGTAGAATTTGATTCAGGAAAATGGCGGCATGTGGGTTTCATTGTTTTTTTTCTCTTAAACACAATGGACACATATTACAGCCTACACATGACACAAGATTTAGCAAAATAAAACGTTCACAATATGATTGAAATACAGAAGTGTCTCTCAGCTACATAAATGACTTTAAATTATACAGTAAGTGAACAGGTGAAAGAAACAAAGCTATAGCTTATAGAAAGCTCAAAAACCGCCCTCTGACAGTATCCTGTGCCCAGGGTCTCCCCACCGGGGCCTAGCAGAAGGGGCTGTGCCCCCTGCTCAGGCCTTACCCCAGGGCCCTCCCGGTGAGAGAGGGGGTGAGCCCAGCGGGGACCCAGCATGGCCAGGCGCCTCACCCAGGAGATGCTGACGTCCACTTGCAGGAAGGCACTCACGTGGGGTGGCTCAGGGGCTCTGCCTTGCAAGCCTTTGAGGTGGAAACACAGACAATCCCAAAACCCCAAACCTAGGGCCTCCCCCGTCAGTCTGGTAACCTCAGCTCCACTGTTCTCCCCTGGCAAGGGCTGGGCCTCCTGTCTCCCCTCTGCTACATGGCGTGGCCAAAAGGGGAAGTGCCCAGCTTGAGGAAATCGATCCCAAGGACATCCAACACGTGCACTGCCTTCCCCCACCATGGGCATCTGTCAAGCACCTTGCCTGGGCCTGTGTGTGTGTGTGTGTGTGTGTGTGTGTCCGTGTATGGTGTATGCGCGCGCGCATGCGCAAAACACTATGACCTATTGCCTACTTTTCTTTGCTCCTGTTTCAATTGGCAGCTGTTTCCTAAAGTGGAATGAACTGAAGATACAAATGCTAATAGAGGATACATATTCATAATCTGGCGAGAGAGAGAGACAGAGCAATCACGTTAAACGTCCCCTTCCCACCAGCCCCACCTCCGTAAGAGATACACGTTATCACCTAAGCTCGGCATCTCACTTCCAACACTAAAAATGATCTTATTTCATAGGAGAATTTATATTATAGTTTTATTTCAAAGAGCACAATAAAAGCCCTCTCCAGCTGCATACAGAGCCAGGCTTCCCGGGTAACCCCCTCAGTTTTTAATTCCACAAGGTAAGGACCTCGGGCGCTGGGACGGGGGTGGGGGGTGGGCAGCCATCTAGCCAGGGCAAGACCCTCAGCAGCTCTCCCTCCTGTGCCCAGGCCCCCAGCCCCCAGTGTCACCTGCCGCCCTGGCCATGCCAGCACGGTGGTTGCCTAGCAGAGGGACAGAGGCCAGAGGAGGCCAGGAATGGGGAAAAGAGGGTGTTCAGATTTTAATAAATGTCAACTTGGAATGTCATGATTTTCTTCAAACAAGCAACAATGAGAGATTAAACTACTGGCGTATTTAACAGCATTGAACAGAATTCTGTGTCCTATAAAAAAATTAGCTTATGTCCCATGTGGGTATATGCCAAGGCGTGTACAAACACATCCCCTAGGTGAGCTAAGCACTACTTTGGAAATAGTATTCTCAACCCACACCTCTGGGGCTCTAACTGTGAATAGCGTCTGGGGTGTGTATTTGTCCCATTTACACGAAGGCAAGCCCCCAGCCCAGTCTACCAGAGAGATTTCCAGGAGGAACTCTCGCGAGAGGCAGGGACGGCAAAGACATTGATCTCTGTCTGGCTCCCGAGCCTTTGTCCCCTCCTGTCTTCTGACAAAGTGCTGTGCTGCAGACCTGGCTGCTGGCTTCAGACTCAAACATCTGGCCAGCCCGAGCATCACCGGGCCGGGGCGGGGGGGGCAGCTCTGTGCATCTGTGTCCTCTCTCCCTCTCTTCCTGCCCTCCCTCACTCTTGCGTGCAGACACAGACAGACACAGTCTGGCTGGAACATACATGCACCTCAGCCCTACCTGATCCTGAAACAGTTGACCTTCCAGAAACTTCCATGTCTGTGTCCTTTGTGTGCTGGGGGGGGGGGGGGGGTTTGGGAGATGGGGAAGATAAGAGAGGAGCAGGTATGACAATGCCTGGATGGGATAGTTTTTCGATTTCTGTTTTCCTAAAAAAATAGAGATTATATTATCACGAAGAAGAGGCGTATGCTGGCATGGTACCAGAATTCCCAGGTGGACATGGGTGAGGTCAAAGCCTAAACGAAGGGGAGGGGGTGGGGCCAGGAGACGAGTTCCAAATCAATCCATGACAGTATAGATTTTCTTTTTTTTCTTTAAGTGTTCGAAGTGCTAAATTTGCGAGAAAACAGGCACTAATTTCATTGTCACCGTCTGGGAAGAGTTAGTGTCCGAGGAAAGCTCAGTGGGTGGGGAGGGAAGAGAGGTGGAGCAGGGTCTGGCGCTCAGGGGTCGGTGGCGTTGATGGTCGTCTTGTCCGGGGAGCCCCAGCCCCGGTACCAGCTGCAGTAGCCGCCCTTTTGCCGGATGCAGGCGTAGTGTTTGGACTGGTAGCCGGGGTAGCCGAAGTTGGAGAGCATGTCGGTCCAAAGGCACTCGTTCTTGGAGGTCACGAAGCAGGGCAGGTAGTAGCAGGACTTGATCTGCAATCAGACCCCAGCCAACAGTTGGACTGCGCCTGCGTGGCCCAGGCCCTCCCCTGCGACCACAGCCCCTTAGCAATGATGATAATATAACCACCAGCAGCTTGTGTTTATTGAGCACCTGCTGTATACCTGACGTTCTATGTGACTGCCCTTTAATGCTCGCCCCAGTTTTACCCTCTTTCCTGCAGAGGAAGAAAGAGGGGCTTAGAAAGGTTAAGCTACTTGCTCGAAGCCACGCAGCTCATGAGCCGGGGAAGCAGACCCACGAGGGGGTCTGTCCTTCCCCCAGCTGGTGCCGAGAATCGAGGGACTACAAAGCTGAGAGCACACACTGTGGGGTCCAGCTGCCCTGGGCTGGAAAGCAGGCTCAGTGAGCTGTGGGACCCAACGCGAGTTCCTGAAGGTGTCCGAGCTTCTCATTCTTCATGTGGAACATGGGGGTACCCTTACGCAATGACAAGCACACTGGGGAGTTCGGAGGCCCCTCTCCCCCGCCACTCACAGCAGGAAGGCTATGCTTTAGCCTGGCTGAAGACAGGCCCCTGCAGCACCTGGCATCAGCAGGCCTGGACCAGTTAGCCACCTGGGGAGGAGGCCACCACCAAGTCAGCTGCCAGGGGGAGTCCATTAGGGACCACGTGGCCCCTGGAGGCCACAGGTGCCAGCACGCGGCGTTCTTCCCTCACCTTCCGCGCTGCCTTAGCAACACTGCTCGGACCTGCCCCTCCTGCCCCCCCCAGCCCAGCACCTCCTACCCCCCCCCCCCAGCTTACCTTGCAGTTACAGCCCAGGTGGTAGCGATAGTTCAGCCCCTTGCGCTGGGAGAGGGTGAGCTGGTCCCACCGCTCCACGAAGTTGCACAGCCCCGTGTACACCTTGCCATCATAGACGCGGCCTGTGGGAGGGATGAGGAGGTCAGGCAGGGGGAGGCGTTCGTCCAGGGCCCAGCCCAAGGGGAAGAATGTACATCAGCTGTGTGCCCGGGAAGGGTAGGTGCTGTGCTTGCGACTTCTCGGAACCATGATTTGATTTCATCGTCCCCGACGGCTGTAGGCCAGACTACAGCCCCATTTTCCAGACCAGGATAATGAAGGTCAGAGAGGTCAGGTGATTTATCCAAGGTCCCAAGCCCAGACGCTTAGCCCTGGGCAGGCCAAGAGGGACTCGTCACTGGCAGCTCCTCACAGCTGTCTACGCACTGGCCAGCGTCCACACCACAGCAGGGCCAACCTCGCCCTATCTGCCCGTTACCTGTCAGCAGGTACTGGTACTTGTTGACCTCCAGCTTCAGGCCACAGAGACTCTCAGAGGCTTCCGTGTGGATGTACTGCACGTGGGGCATCTTGGTGAAGCCTCGGTACATCTGTGGGCAGAAGGAGCACGGTGAGCGGAGGGCCGCGGGCCAGCGAGGACCAAAGCTGCCACTTGATCCCCCTTGCTGGCCACCACCCTGTGCACCCCGAGAGGAGCCAGGGTGGAGCCTTCTCAGGAAAACCTCCCTATCCAGCACTCTCCCTTTCAGTCGCCCCACAACACTGTTCCAGCTACTCACTCCTCGGCCCAATCTGGCCAAGGTACTGTGCACAGGGCTCTTTGTCCATCCCTGAGCACAGCCAGCCAGCACCCATGATGCCCTGGGATACCCCCCTGTGCACAAAAGCCTTCTCACTAGGTGCCCGTAGGCTCTTCACCCATGAGAACTCAGAAATGCACAGTCCGGCTGCCGAACTTTGAACTTGGGCTAGGGATTCTCTATGCCTTTAGAGTTCCTGAGCCCCAGAGGCAGCACCTAATCATGCATCCAGAAATCCACACGTTTTTAAGTAAGCACTTCATAGCCATCAAGTTGAAGCATCTGAAATCGTTGTAGATAAACAGGGTCAGGTATCAAGCAATCTAACGCTGGTGGTTGTCAATTGGAGGCGGCAGTTTGGAGACATCTTGGGCTGTCCTAACAGGGCAGCCCCCAGAGCAAAGTAATGCCTGGTCCCCAGATGTCCCGTGGAACCCTGGTGAAGGAAACCCTGCTCTAATATTAACCCATTTTATCGCCCGTGATAACGCTGAGAGGTAGGTACTGCCATGCCCATTTCACAGAAGAGAAGCCAGAGGCACGGGCAGGCTATGCGATCTGTTAAAGCCACGCGATCTGTTAAAGCCACACAGTCAGTAATGGCAGGGCTGGGATCCACTGCTGGAGTCCATGCCCCATCCACCACCACCCCACCCCACCCCCAACCCCCACCAGCTGCAGCCTGGGAAGTGCCTGGCCAAGGCCTCTGCTGCAGCTGGGGCCGTATCTGCTGCCCGGGCCATCTTTATCACAGGTGAACTCCATAGAGGCTGAATGTAGCCCATGAGGGTTACCCGGGCTAGGGCAATGGTGCTACCGCAGTGAGCCAGCCAGAGTGGGATGGGGTGGTCTCTGGGCCTGTCCCAGGATTTCACAATAGGACAGTGTCTCTCCGCTTTAGTTGCTGGCATGCGTGATTAATTTGCTTATGGTAATTAATACAAAGGCAGACATCACCTCATTGGCGGCTCATCTAAATGCCTCCCATTCAGCCAGAGGGGCTGGGGCTTTCTCCCTGGCTTCTAAGCCACGAGGGCCTTTCGGATCACAAAGCAGCCTGTTGGCCCCAGCCTGGGAGCCTGCGCCTTGTGGAAGGGGCACCATTGTTCACATGCGCTGGGGAGGTGCCCTCCACATGGGGCCAGCCGTGCCCTGGGGAGCAGGGGTGCGCTGCGTCCCACTGCCCTCTTCCTCCAGCCCCGCGCTCGAAAAACTCCCCGAAATTCCTGTGCCGAACAACTCCTTGGTTGGATGCAGATACTGCCTAAAGGCTGGCAAACGTTTGCACTCAGCCCAGCCAATCGGAAGTTGGCTCCTCTGCACCCGTCTTCCCCTTTGAGGGCCTCGTGGGCGAGACTCTAGCCCTGCTTAGGGTCAGTGACTTTAACGGCTCCATAAGAATGCAGATGGCAAAAACCAGTTTGGCACCTCTGCTGCTTTTAGGCGTGAAGGAACCTGTATTTAACATTGCTTCTGGCTTGGCTCCTGTATGCCTGTATGATCTGGGCTACTTATTAAATAACTGGCTACCTCCCCTGTAAAATTCAGGGTAACCCATCTCATTCAGCAAGCTGGCATGAGTGGATCCATGCACACAGAATCTCGGTTAAGGTAGACTGTACTCATTCACTTTGCTTCCCAACAGTCCTCTCTCTCCCAATACAGAAGCAGAATCACTTTAACAAACTCCTCTACCAGCAGGGTGAGGGGGCACAGGGTCCTGAAGGTTCCTGGTATCCAGTGGGTTGACCGTGTCCTCCAGAACTGGGAAGGACGTTCAAGGTCACCTAATCCAACCAGCATCACGAGCCCAGCCCCCTTGAGAGTTCATCTCTTCCTGCGTCAGTCACTGCTCTGCTTTAGGGGCGAGACTCGAGCCCCTGTCTAGATCAACCCTGAATTCTGGTTCCAGAATCTGAACTCTGCTCTGCACCTGTTAGCCACTTGGGAAGTGCCTTAAGCCCTTTAGACCTCAGTTTCTTCATCCGCACAGTGGGGCAGGGCATGCACTTCATCCAGTGTTTCTGGGAGAATTAAATGACTTAGAGGAGCACCTAGCACAGAGCAGTCAGCCAAAGTCAGCTTAAAAACAGCTCATGCGGGAAGGGTCTGGTCCTATTCTTCCTAGCGACGTCCTAGGGTCATTTCCCAGCTTCATCTCTCAGCCAAAGCAGCTGAAGGCGCCTCAGAGTCTCTGTCATAAGCACGTCTTTCCCAGCTGTACCCTGCAGGCTTCTGGGTCGTTTCTCTGGGAGTATCTAAGGTGCTGAGAACTTAGTGCCCCTGGGGGTCGTGTAAGACATCTGGGGACAGCTGCACATTTCCTCGCGCTACGTAGACAGCAGGGCAGGCCACGGTTCCGTCTGATGTTTCTCACGCACCTGCTGAGGACCAGGGTTCTGGACGCTGCTGTCCATCACTGGCTCACGGAACCTGCCCTTAAAGCTTGCTGACATACCAGGCAGCCGAGGTTTGCAGACGGTAGGAACCCAACTGATACACCACGTGCACGGGCTTGCCCGTCCAGCCCAGGCAGTCTCAGCCAAAGTGGAGTCGCTTTCTGCCAAGGGCTCCAGGAGAGTCTTGAACCAGACAGAGTCATGGGCACTGGGAAGAGGAGTCCCCTCGGGCTGCCCGTATCAGACAAACCACCCAAGGAAGTCGTCGAGGGCCAAACAGGCTCGTCCCGCCCACAGTCAGGACGTGCAAAACACATGACCAGCCGGAGTCCCCAGGGACGCTCCGGGTCCAGCTGGGACACCATGTCCCCTGCAGGCTGCCTGAGAGCAGGCTCCCGCTACACAAACACAGCTCCTGGCAAAGCAGCCACTTTCTCATGGGCCCAGTGGGAGATAAGGCCCCTGCAGGTTAGAGCTGCCGGTTCTGGAAACTCGCATGTGCGACGCAGTCCAGGGCCTGAGTCCCCCGCTAAGCTCCAAGTTTGGGTTTGCAGTCAGCTGCCGCAACATTCTGACGGCCCACACCCCCTCACCCACACACCGCGGGGCTCTGGCTGCTCAAGGTGTGCCCGAGAGCCAGATTCAGTGCTCTGGAGTCAGCAGATGGGCGGGGTCAGCCTGCCTTTCATCAGAGGTCAGCCAGGCAGCTTGGGTTCTCACGTTCTTCCCAGCTCCCCTGGCCCTGCTCTCAGGGAGCGCTCGCTTCCTCGTCTGCCTCTCCGGGATAGACTTTAATCCGCGAGAACAAAGCCACCGGGGGACGGGTGCCAAAACTCCCACAGCCTGGCCGGGCTGGCCTCCCCGCCTCCCCTCCTGCAAAGATTTTTCTGATACACCCTTTCCAGGATGTCGTGGGTCAGAAGCTACATAGCTGGGTGGCAAACCAACACACACACAAGCAGCCCCCTCTCTCTCTCTCCTGGCAAAACCCCACACCAGTGGAGTGGGGGGGCACCCCCAGAGTGTTTCAGAATCAGCCTTTAGCTTGGCTCCACCCTCCAGCCACATGATCTGGGCCAGTTTCTTAAATAACCTTCCAGGTCTCAGCGACCTCACCTGTAAAATTCAGGGTAACCCATCTCATCCCCCAAGCTGGCATGAACTGATCTCTGCAAAGGCTTGGCAGAGTGCCTGGCACTCAGCGGATGGGACTTGTGCGGAGTTTTTAATCAAGGGTACCGAGGCCTATCTTTGCACGCCCAGCCTGTCGCACAGGGCTAAGCATTGCGAGGGAGGGGGATCAGAAGTGGCAGGAGAGCGAGCCAGGCTGCTACCTACAGGCCAGCAGAATCGGGCAGCCTCTCCAGGGATCCTCATACAGCTCTCAGGAGGCAATAAAAGGCCCAAGAGACCTGGGATTAAGGACAGAAAGGCAGATTGGAAGAGTCTCGTTAAGAGCCCAAGATCGGGAGAGGATCCTGCAGCCTCGACTTGAACAGGGGATCTGTCTTCACCTGTGACTGCACAGCCATCATTTTCCCTTTGAGTCCCTGTCAGAGGTCAAAGGAAGGCTTCTACATCTCACACCCAGCACACCTGACACCCTGAACCTAGGAGGCGCATGTGGAATGCAATGCCAGGGTCCCCCAGCCCGGAGGTGGGGGTGGGGGGTGTTGTGCTCTGAAGCTGATGGCCTGGCACCAGCACAGGGGGAATGGGACACACTCGCTACCCTGGTCTCCAGGCCCCGCAGGTAGCAGAAACCGAGCCAACCCCGGAACTGCTGCCTGCAAGCCCCTCCCCTCGCGGCTCTCTGCTGGCCACAGGGTGGACAGCAAACACGCCTTGGGCTGGTGTGCCGTGGCCCTCCGCCGCCAGCGGTGCACAGGGGAGTTTGGGGGGGCTGTTGTTGCTCTTGCTGGTTCCCCACCTCCGCCCCCTCGTCTCTCCCCAGGGCCGTCTGAAGACATAAGCCGGTCTCATGACCAAGCTTAGGCAGCCAAGGGCAACTGGCCAGGGCTGACTGTGGACATTACATAACCAGAAGGCTGTGGATGTTTCCAAAATCGAATCCAAAGCAACAGGTTCCGTGAAATTCGTACGCCCAGCCTCAGGCCTCAGGCAGAACAAGGCCTGGCGGTTCCATGCTGGGGGCCGTGTGCTGCCCCTACTCAGGTCTCCCTGAGCAGTAGGGTTAAGGCCTGGGAGGGAGGGTTCTCAGGCCCGTGGGCTCCCACCCCAGTGCCTGCTTGGGGTGCCAACAGGTGAAAGGAGTGCCCTGCGGCCGGTGCTTAGGCACTTGGCTCTCGTCTCCTGTCCTTACTGCTGTTCCCCCAAGGCAGGACCTGTGTCTTCCCCATGGGTGCCTCGGGTCCTGGCCCTGAGCTCTGCACGTGGGGAGGTGCTTACAAAAGCAGGGTGATGGGTCAGTTGCTGAGTTACTCGAGGTTCTGGAGGCCCCCGTCATCCTTTCCAGGATCCACCACCAGCTCCCGGCCACCAAGAATGCCAGGGCTGGAAGGGCTTTTTAAGGACACCACGTCCATCCCTGCCCTGTTCACAGATGGCAAAACTGAGGCCCACAGAGAGGGACAAGGTCAATAGGCTATGTGAGAGAGAGAGACAGAGAGAAAGATCTTCCTTCCATTGGTTCACCCCACAAATGGCCAACACGGCCAGAGCTATGCCGATCCGAAGCCAGGAGCCAAGTGCTTCCTCCTGGTCTCCCACGCAGGTGCAGGGCCCAAGCACTTGGGCCATCCCCCACTGCCCTCCTCGGGCCACAGCAGAGAGCTGGACTGGAAGAGGGGCAACCAGAACCAGAACCCGGTGCCCATATGGGATGCCGGTGCCACAGGTGGAGGATTAACCAAGTGAGCCACGGCACCGGCCCCTCCGTGATAGTCTTAATGATAGGAAGATGCTTCAGGAACGTTACTAACTCACTAGCAGGCAAGACAATGAGCCGAGCTGGGGAAGTAGCAGAAAAGGGAGCAGTTCCTGCCTCGGGACGCGGCTCCTGGGATCCACACAGGCTCAGTGTAGCACTCTGAGGGGCTACGGCCAAGTTGTATCCTCAACAGCTGCCCAAGACCTGTCGGCATGGTTGAGTCCCAGAAAGTCAGAGCCCAGGGGCAGCCTGCGGTCCAGCTCCCTCACTTCTCAGCGGAGAATACGAGCATGCAGAGGCGGGCAGCGACGCGAGCCCACGATTCCCGAGTCACAAAGCCCTCTGCTGTCTGGCTCCGGCTCTCAGCTCCACGGGCCTCTGAGCACCTGCACCTGCACCGGCTCTGGGGGGAAGCAGCCACCGCTCCCTCCCCGCCCATCTCTCTCTGCCACCTCAGCAGGGCGGAAGGGCTGGGGCTCCGATGCCGAGAAGACACCCACGCCGGTTCCACCCCACGTTGCCTCCCCTAGCCAGGGCCCTTCCGGCAGAAACCCAGAACCCCGCTGGAGTCCGGCTGAGCAGCCCACTTACCTTCATCTGCTTGACGGTGTAGACCATCGTGCCGAAGGGCCCTTCCTTCACCAGCTTCTTCCCCACCACCTTGGCCCGGATCACTGCAGAGAGAGCAAGACAGAGAGGGGGTGGGGTTACGAAGGGCGGAACCACATTGGGGTAGCACCCGGGGGTGCGCATGCTCGCCCCATGGCAGCCTGGGGTCACATTTTTACCTTTGTACCAACTCCACTAGAACACTGACCATTCGGAGAGACGCTGGCCGAGAGGGAGATGCAGAGAAAGCAGCAGCAGCCGAGTTAGTTCACAATCGCCTGCCTCGGAGGTTCCGAGGCTACGCTCACCCCCCTCCTGGGCCCTCAGCGCCCCTGCACCCAGCCGTAGATAACAAGGGATGTGTTCTAATCCAGCCCAGTGAGGTGCAGTGCAAGAGGGAGTAGTGGGGAGTTGGGCTCACCAGCCAGACCCAAGAGTTGCAATCCCAGCCTGGCTGTTGTGACCACAGGCAAATAACAGTTTCTCACCAGTTCTTCACCTATAGAGCAGGACTTGTAATGGTAGCGCTGGCAAGATGGCACGTGTGAAACATGCATTCTCTCACACTAGGTCAGACAGACCTAATTAACATCATCGGCATCACCACTACTACAGCCAAAAAGGGAATGCAGTAGAACATTGAACTTACAGAACAGTATTAGAAGTTAGATAAGGAAACTGACAGAGAAGGGAAGCCACGTCCTCCTGCCCCCTCCATGTTTTCATCTGCCCAGAGGGTGTGACTCCACCCACGTCGGGGTGTCAGAAGGAGATGAAACAAAAGAGCTTGTGAAATCTCCCACTGCGAGGTCTGGTGGAAAGGACTTTCTCGGTAGACGCGAGCTGACTGTGGGTAAGAAAATCACCCAGAGTGCAGGGCTGCAGGGGAGGTGTTCACCCCACACGGGGCGGGGGAGGGGGGGGGAGGGAATGCACTGGCTAGAGGGGGCCTGCCCACATTTGTAGGAGGCTGTATCTTCTCTTCTTCGTGATCTGAAGATTCGGAGTTTGGAAAACCGGCCCGTGGCAGGACACACAGACAGCTCCCGAAAACAGACTGCAGAGAAGGGCTCCCCTCAGCTCTGCCCAAGAAAAAGTCAGCCAACAACCAGGCACGGGGCAGCAGGAGGGGGAGGGGAGGCCCTGCCATAGCGGCCAACAACACCTCCATCAATGGGCTGGGTGCTCTCAGGCCGGGGGCTGGGAACGGAGTGGGTTTGCCTGTGAGGTGCTAGGAGTCGCATATTGGATTCTGCCTGTTGTGAGGTCCTGTAACAACTCCTCCCTCGACTTGTGCGGAGCCCAGGCAATGTCTGTGAAGGCAGAAAACCTCTTTCTCTCTGTCTCTCTCTCTCTCACGCACGCGCACACCCATTCTGCTAATTCCATTATCCTTCCCCACTGGGGTGCCCCACTTTTATTCCTAAATTCTCATCTCCTTTAAAAATAAAAAAGATCTTTACGAGGCACCACCAGTTCCCCCTCCTTCCTGGATTCTGCCCTGTCCCTCGCCAAGGGAGCTTGGAGCCCGCCCTGCCAGGGAGACAGGAGGTCAGAGCTCAGATGAACCCACTGCCCCTCCAGACCCTCTCTGCCAGGAGTGGCCAAACGGGGAGGCCGCTGGCAAAGTCCGCAGCTGAGCCGAGGCAGCTCAGCCTCGGAGGCAGCGAGGGGCCGCTTCCAAGCCTTCCGTCAGAACGAGAGGTTGGCACGATCCCAGCCGAACTCGCTCATGGCGGTGCAGCCACCTCTGGCGCTGGCTTTGCAACAGCAACCCCGGCAGGCGGCCAGCGTCTCGGGGGCCCCCGGGGGCCATTTCCTCCCTGCAAACCCCACAGGCAGGTTCTGACAGCCCAGCCGCCGCGCTGTCTGCCCATCTGCCAACTACGGATTCTCCCTGATGACTTGGCCTCGCCTTCTGCCACTTTAACCCTGCAGGTACACTAGGGCGTGGCTCTTGACCTCAGCAGGGGAAGGCAGAGGGATTCCTTTGAATGGCAACATCGCCCCTCCCTTGGCCCCAAAGTGACTTGAAGTAGACATGTCATATCAGACGGCCCCCATGCAGCCGGGTACTTCTGGAAGCTTCTCTAGACAATCAGCCAACTCCTGCCTTACCCCCAAACAGCCTGAGCTTGGAACCCTTTCGACTGCGGATCCTAGAGTGTGAGCAGAGTACGTTGTGCGGTCAGGAAGCCTTGGTGGGGCCCGAGCTCCACCATCGCTGTGTGGCTTCAGCAGCGCTCTTTCCTCCTGATTCTGTCTGGCTTTCTTGGCCACATGCTTCTCCCTGGCGACAACGGACGCTCTTGATGTATTAGAACGGCCAAGTGGTGTCGCATTGGAGGGCCAGTCGCTAAACCTCTGTGACTCTCAGAGCCCTCGGCTACAAAATCAGAGTGATGATAACACTGTGCGGAGTTGCTATGAGGGTTGACAAGCACCAAGGAGAGTGGGCGGGCGGACAGGCCCGCCCACGGGTTTGCTCTCACTGTTCCATGATTCCCGCTGCTGTTCACCTGTCCTAGAGCCTGGCCAGGCACCTCCCATACAGTGCAAGGCCTGGCAGCCTCTCCCAAGGGTGACCAGAAATGCAAGCTTGAAATATCCCAGTCCTACAGAATTTCCTAGGGCATAAGGAGGTGGTCGGAACAAGGCCATTGGGGGGGTTTTAGGTGGGTTGCACCTACTCCATCCATCACGGGTACGTGTCCCATGCCTTACCCAAGGGACCAGCTACAGGACTTGATGCCCGGGACCAAGGGGTGGCACGGTGTAGAGGCCACACCAGTGTTTTCCTTACAGGAACAAAACTCCACTCAGCTAAAATTAAGCCGCGTCTGCTCTCCAAGGTGGATCTGTGAAGTCCTTCCCAAATAAAACTGCTGGCCGGCCCTGAGTCCACCTGTTGGGTTTGCGGGTTAATGCGTCCTTATTTGCTTCAGTGTGCCCTCCTCCAGTCAAATGTGAGCTACTTTGTGTTTTCCTGTGTGGCAGGAAGGGATCGCCTGAGGCATGTGCTGGCCCAGGGCGGACGACAGGGAACAAGGGAGGTGGCGGCAGCGCCTGGTTTTCCAGCAACAGCAGAAGGCTTTTCCCGATTTGGTGCTGGCGGCAGGTTTGGCCATTCCCTCTGCCTTCATGTGGCCGGGCCGGGCACGGCACCCTCCTCTCTTCCCGTTCGTGCTGGAGAGCAGCCTGCACGCCATCCACCCAGCATTCTCCCGCAGCGAAGCCACCATGGGTGTGCACTGGGTTGGGGTCCGGAACACCGGGCCTGGCTCCTGGAGGGGAGGGCAGCGAGAAGCAGCCCATCTCCTGCTGCCCCAGATTACAGTCCAGCAGGGAAGTGAGGCTCCCAAGTTCACGGCCAGAGGATGGAGGGCCGGGGTGCAGGAGCACCAGCCAGCAGCGGGGGAGGGAAGAGGCTCACCCTCCGTCTCCACCGCTGAGCCCGTCTTTCCCCCTTGGAGCTTCTCTCTGAGCTCCTGGGGGTGTGGCGGTCCAAAGGAACCCAGAGGCTTAATCAGGCCCGGAGGAAACAGCAGTTGGAGTTAAAAGTAGCTGGGAAGAAACTCACCAGCACATGTGTGTTTATGTAGCTGGCACGCAGATCTATAAATACAGCGCACGCCTAAGGGTCTGTGCGATTCTCTAAAGAGGTACTTTTCTTTCCTTAATATCTTTGGGGGAAAGATTAGTAAGAGTTTGCAAAATCAAGGTGAGCAAAGCACACCCCTTCTAAAAGGTAACTCGGCACAGTCATGCATGAAGACAGCTCTGCCAAGCTGAGGCATCGGGATTCCGTCCCCATCCTGCGCTCCGTACGAAGTCTCCTCCAATCTCCACTCCACATGGCCCTGTGTCACCAGCCATGAGCAGCACACGCTTTGAGTGGAAATTCTGCAGGGCAAACAGGATTCCACCTCCCGTCCCCTCCCTGGGGCCTCTCCCCAGGCTGCACATCTGCTGTCCATCAGCTTGTTCAGAGGGGACAAGACAGCCTGGAGCTGCCCCCGGCTGTCCCCCAGCCGTCCCCCAGCCAGCAACGTCCAGCAAATCCAGACCTTTCTACCCCAGCCTGGCGCTTGGGCTTTCCCCCGACCGCAGGCTACAAGGTCGAGTATCTGTGTGCCGATTTTACTGACGTGGGGATCAAGGAGCCCTTCTTTGAATTTGCTTGCATCTGCCTGGAGCAGTACAGTTGCTCTCCATCTTGTAGGGGCTGATTCAGCCATCTAGCCCCGCCCCTCCCCACAGCACACAATCCGCCTTCCTGTCTCCGTGCAGGCCCTGGGCAGTGATTGTGCCGGCTTTAGGAAGACAGCTAGGGTAAGTCAGGCACATCTGGCTGGCAGGGGAGTCACAGTTCACGCCCAGGGAAGGGGCCTTCCTTCCGAGGGGCATCCAGCAGGCCGGATTGTGGCCAACAACAGCCCGAACCAGGGGCTTGCTTTTCTTTTGGGGGCTTGGGTTTAGAAGACAAGGTTCTGGGAGTGTTAGAGCGCTGTTGCCCCCGAAAGCATCACACACATGAAAAAAGACGGATGTCAGTAATAAGCTCCCCTCGTCGTGACCTGATGTGTCTTTCCGGGCTGCATGCTCTCAGATGGCAAAGGCAGGAAGCCAGAGACCCTACAGAGGGAGGCCGGCCCAGAGCGTGCTACGAGATCCCCTCTTCCCGTCCACCTGGGCAGCTGCCTTGTAGCTGTGCACAGACAGCAGAGGCTGCCCACCCGCTCATTCCTGTCAGGTCCTTTGCGTTGTGTCGCATCCCCTCAGTGCACCTGGGGGGGAAAGAAGGGAGCTGGAGTACATGGAGACCACCATGCACATGTGCGAGTCGTCCACTCCATCCTCGCCTAGCCCTGTCCCCATGGCCCAGCTAGGGAAACGAGATCGGGTACCCCGAGTGCAGCTCGTTTTGCATCCCAGTGGAAAGAGGAGTGGGGGAGGTCCCTAAAAACCTTGGCGAGGGACCCGCACCAACTGGAGAGTAGTTCACAGATTCACTGCACTCCTCACACCCACTGTCATGACTGCGGGGGCCCAGGACGAGGGTGCT